TTAAAACTTGTTTTTGGGGGTTATATCCTTCAGGAGCTTCGTAGTTTAGGCCTTTGTGATGTATAGATGCATTACGTTTCCTACTGGGCATGGTTTCGTCATCACGTGTTTATTCCGTCAGTATCGATCCTTGTATCAATATGCCTGACTTCATATTACTTGCTTGGCAAGTTGTCGCTGTCGCTTTTAAAATTGAAAACAATAGTTATAAGGGAGGAAAACTGTATAATTTCTTCCACCGAACTACCAGCAAGAACTGTCAAGGAAATTGTTTGACCTTGCCTTTAATAAGTAAACATTTCGTTTGATGGATAAAAGTACATTTCATATAACGAGGAGAACTCGAATAAGGTCAAGAACCGACGAACAGGGAGAAGACGCGACGACACCCGAGAAACGCGTCCTTTAACTTGTGAACCCACCTTGAACAGTATTCCTGTTTATTGCGGCGTGTCAGATGAATGAGGTATTGAAGCCTGAATGATGCGGATCTAAGACTTTTCCCACTTTGAGTGAAACCCAACAACAGATGTATGCCGAGAAACTCATACTCATACGCTATAATCGGGGCGTATCAATCACGATCATTGGTTTCAAACAGACACACAGACACGAACAGACACACAGAATAGACAATAGATCTAGAGGCGCCTTACGACTGTTCTACCCGTGTCCCAGTTCACATCGAAGTATAATGTATATACACGTGGAAAAAGGCAATCCCTGACACCTATGATTTTTAAACCCCAAATAGTCATTCTATTCATATCATAATTATGTTTTCATGATCATTTTGACCTTCCGAGGCATGATACATTGGTTTGGATATGCACGTGCTACTATCACACGCGAGCATCATGTGCAATGTCTTTGTTAAGCAGATATTAAGTTTCAGCAACGTCGTTAGCTTGGAAAATCAGTTGATTTTGTTGATAAGCACCCGAGTGACAACTGTGCTGGAGGATGCAGTCCTCAGAATCACAAGACTTCATCCAACTTCATCCGATGTCTTAGACATCGTCGTTTATCCGACGAGACTTTGCAAAATCGCCTAAAATAGGCCGGGTATAGAGCCAAACGACTATAAGACATCCGTCGTTATCCCCAGCACAAAGCACGGCTGTCAAACTCGACGTCACTGGAATATGAAGTCATGTATAAGCGTCACAGGTCGGACGAAAGTCGATTTCTTAAAAATTGTTCATGACTGATGGCCGATGTGATATTACGGAAACGCCCGACAGTTAATGAGCAGAGGGGGTATCACGTGACATGACGTCATATGTGCCTGTTGCTGATGGCTTCCTCTTTGATTTGCCCTCACAACTTAACAGTGTCCATGGATTCTGAAGCAGTGAAAGATGTTCCTGATGTCATTTCAGAAATGGATGTTAGACCGTAGCAATACGATCCGATTTTATATCTTGCAAGACAATCTTCCAGTGAAGATGAAGAAGAAGGCTTTTCTGTTATGCAGACCCTGAAAGAAATATATCAGGTTTAGCCCAGACAATAATAATTGTCAAGTCAAGAACACTTCAGTTTCAGTTTCAGAAAAAAAAAGACGATAATATATGGCTCAATCTCAGTATAATTTAAACAACATTTTTCTGAAAAACAGAACATGTAACTATGTCTGTTGGTATAATTCTCAAACCACTTTTATCTTGTTTTGCTTCAGTTTAATACGAAGCTCGCGAAGGGACATTTGCGTGTCTACACACACACACGCACGCACGCACGCACGCACACGCACACGCACAGCCAAAAGAAAATTAACAAAAGAAAAAGGATTACGAGATTATTATCTTTTTTTATTTTATTTTATTTTTTTTTTCATTTTTTTTTTTATTTATTTATTTTATTTATTTTTATTTAGGTGGTTTTTTTAAACTTTTTTTGTGGGGGTTATATCCCTTCAGGGCTTCGTAGTTTAGGCCTTTGTGATGTATAGATGCAATTCCCTACTGGGCATGCTTTCGTCATCACGTGTTTATTCCGTCAGTATCGATCCTTGTGTCAATGTGCCTGACTTCATATTACTTGCAAGTTGTCGCTGTCGCTTTTAAAATTGAAAACAATAGTTATAAGGGAAGCTGTATAATTTCTTCCACCGAACTACCAGCAAGAACTGTCAAGGAAATTGTTTGACCTTGCCTTTAATAAGTAAACATTTCGTTTGATGGATAAAAGTACATTTCATATAACGAGGAGAACTCGAATAAGGTCAAGAACCGACGAACAGGGAGAAGACGCGACGACACCCGAGAAACGCCTCCTTTAACTTGTGAACCCACCTTGAACAGTATTCCAGTTTACTGCGGCGTGTCAGCTGAATGAGGTATTGAAGCCTGAATGATGCGGATCTAAGACTTTTCCCACTTTAGTGAAACCCAAGAACAGAGTATGCCGAGAAACTCATACTCATACGCTATAATCAACTAGTATCCGAAATCCACATCATTGGTTTCAAAAAAGACACACAAACAAAAGACACACAGAACCGACAATAAAAGGAGCCCTGACACGACTGTTCTTCCCGTGTCCCAGTTCACATCGAAGCTATAATGTAATATACACGTAAAACTTGCCACATTTTTCTAGACTTGCGTATGCTTCTTGGATATATATATTAAGTTTCAGCAAAGTCGTTAGCTTGGAAAATCAGTTTATTTTGTTGATAAGCACCCGAGTGACAACTCTGCTGGAGGATGCAGTCCTTCTCAGAATCACAAGACTTCATCCAACTTCATCCGATGGCTTAGACATCGTCGTTTATCCGACGAGACTTTGCAAAATCGCCTAAAATCGGCCGGGTATAGAGCCAAACGACCTATAAGACATCCGTCGTTATCCCCAGAGCACAAAGCAGCACGGCTAGCTTGGTGTCAAACTCGACGTCACTGGAACATAAAGTCATGTATAAGCGTCACAGGTCGGACGAAAGTCGATTTCTTAAAAATTGTTCATGACTGATGGCCGATGTGATAGTGTTGTTGTACCACACAAGGTCAGTGTTCATGGACGACAAGGACAGGCCACATCTTACCGTTGGTGATTTCTTATTGTCAAGACGCGGTAACAACTCTTCCTTGGTCTGGCAGGAGCCTGGATCCCAGAGCATGTTCGTGGCATTATATTTCGCAGAATAATAATAAATAATAATAGATAATAATATGTACATTTTATAGCGCATCTATTCACAAAGTAGTATGCTCTGTGTGCGCTACTCAGACAAGGTGATTGTTAGAGAAATGTATTTTGAAAGAGATAAGTCTTTAGAGTATTTTTTAAGGGAGACACGATTTCAGCTATTTTGAGGGATGTAGAATATGCGAGGGATACTCCAGTACAAACACTTTATGTATTGGAGCAAACCCTCGATTTAAGAAATACAGTTCGCTGTACCCTTGCATATAATGTAATAAACTGTAGTATTTCCCTGAACTATTATAACGTTAAACCACTCAGACGTAAGCGCCTGCGTGCTTTATCTGTACTTTATTACGCTATACACGAGGCCAGAGAGAATTGTTTTTCTAAAATGCCAAATTTAATTTTTACCGACCGTAAATCTAAAGCACAAAACAAATAAATAAAACGATGTTATCGGTGACCTTAGTTAACAGTTCTCGTTCAGGGCTAACCGACGTGCTGTTCTGTTATCGTTTCTGCCCCCTACGGTAAGCCACACTTTACCAATAAAACGAATGTTAAACACTTTCAAGACGGTTTACGTTAAGAGAACGAATCTTTTCGAGATTACCTGGAACAATATGAACGTCGCATATCTACTCCCAACATAAACTGAGATCAGTATATCTCGATCAAGCTGACTCGTCATGTAACATTCCCAGGATGCATTGTGGGTCTGTGTCGTGTCGGTGTACAGTCGAGCTGAAGCGTTTTTTTCCGTCGAACAAGTTGAACGTAATGTTTCCACCGGTGATTTTAACCGACTGGAGCAACTGCAAACCATGAGATGGGATAGTAACCGAGCTATTTGTACTGTAGGTGACTGTACAAGTACAAGGCAGTGGCAAGTTGACAACTGACATGCATCATGGCGGTTACCAAGAGTACATTTGATTGCGAGGGGGCAGACTAGAATGCCATAGTGACGTCAGCTCAGTGTGACGTAATGCAAAACATGTACTGTTTCCCTTGATAAAGTACTGCCAGCGGCTTTAGTGAAGTATCTAAGGAACTTTAATTAAACATACATAGGCTTACGATAATCGTTGCGCTTAGAAGGTTTGTGGAACGAGACCCCGGAGTTCATTTTATCAATGAAAACCACTTCAGTGTTTATGCTGCAGGTACGACCACTACTGTCTCTGAACGGATGCATGTCGTCGCGGCCTACGAAATAGCTACTGGCCCGCAAGCCAAATGCGAGCTGATTGTGAATCGGGCCAGTAATATTTTGTTAAAGCTATCCCGACTGGCTAGCTGAATATCTCAGATAATTTGTTCTTTACTTAATACACATGAATATGATGTTGTCAATTATTAAGGATTCAAGCATATCTTTTGCACTAGCAGTGAGCTGCACATTAGAGCAGTGTTTTCTCCAACCTACGTATTTAAGGAATAAAGAATGAAATCTTAGTTTTTGTGTTTGTTTGATTTAAATATTGTTTCCAAGGAGCGACAATAACTTACACCATCTTCAATTACCAAACAGCACACCAATTCTCACCGATGTGCATTTTGATATTGATATTTTGCAGGGCTCGTGAAGTGTGATGTGGGCTAGCAACATTCCACTTAACTAGTCCTGCTGGCCAGTGACTTTTCAAACTTAATTCATACACTGTGTCGTCGTATCCCTATGGCTATTGAGTAGATCCATGTTTATAATGTCACTCATGGGATTGTCTGGTTGGACTTAATTATTAACGTACCGCCACTACTGCCATATAGTTGGAATATTGATGAGTGCAAACAAATAAACAATGAAAACAACAAACACACTGTCATCAGTTTTCTTCTTGCAGACAATGACGACCAAAATGGCGGACTGCGACAAAGATCAAAGGAGGCCCCGGATGATGGCCCGTCACCTGACCAGTTCAGCATTGAGACGGACGAGAATCTTCACATGGGCAGGAATGTCGGCCTTATCAGCGGCATCTCACTGATCGTCGGCTCCATCATCGGTACATGTCTTTACCTGAGTGATAAAAATAAGGCCTTAACGCCCTGACACATTAAACTGTCCCTCAGTTGGAACTGAAACAATTTATGTCTTAACAAGTAACTATTTGGCGTAGATAATGTCCCATAAAGGTTTGTCTGTTTTTAGATAGGGTTCAAATGTCTGAAATTATGTAACCTCTACATGCTCTCCTTTCCTCTGCTAGATATTTCTTTGTGCAAGGCACAGTATGTTTAGGTAGATGAGGACTGCGAACACAAGGGGTGGGTGGGGTAGCCCAGTGGTTAAACCGTTCGCTCTACACGCCAAAGACGCGGGTTCGATTCCAAACATGGGTACAAGTGTGAAGCCCATTTCTGGTGTCCCCTGTCGTGATATTGCAGGAATATTGCTAAAAGCGGCTTAAAACTGAAGTCAATGAAAACAAAAGACATTTTAACACCGCATTATTTTTCCTTCAAGTGGACAGACCGTCTTCCCGGAGAGCTCCACAATCAGTGTTCTAAGTTCCACACACGAATCCCAACTTTGGTCCTATCGCCAGAACCAAATTCGCCGCCCCCTGACCGACACATATCTGTATTGCAGGTTCTGGCATCTTCATCTCGCCGAAGGGAGTTCTCAGCGACACAGGATCTGTGGGTCTGAGTCTGGTTGTCTGGGCATTGTCTGGTGTCATTGCATTACTTGGTAAGTCTGCTAGAAGTCTGCTAGAAGTCTGCTGGAAGTCTGTTGTCCAAATGATGTTCTGCCTTTAGGTACAGTTCCCACTTATACTATTGCACCTGTACACACGAACCACCAAGAACCACGTCTGGAATACCACTGATGCTAACCTGAAACATTAGACATTTAAAAAATATAATGTGTGTAGGTAAAGCCACGGTATATCCTCTTTTCTATCTAACCTCCGAGACAGATATTTTTATACTATAGAACCCCGTCTATCTTTAACCAAAGTATACGCAACTCCTGCATAATACAAAGTTGCATCAAATACAAATGAAGTTAAGAACTGCGCCATTCTTTTCACATTACTGCAGGTGATCTGCCATGACATTAAAGGTTAACCTTAGTGATGTGAAAGAATCGGGAGGTCCTTTACATTGTGAAGTAATACATGAGTCCAGGTTTAGGGGATCCGGATGTGTGTTATACCGGACATTGTGAATGGTACGGTCTGGATTACATACGGAAGGTTATGATTGATATGATGGGCGTTTTTGCGAGGTGGTGATTTCGGTCTGGTTTTGGGGGTTAATCTATTGTTTCAAGTTTTGTTTTGATTGAGTTTTTTTATGCTTTGTTGTTTGTTGCTTTTGTAATTTGTTTCCCGGTGTGTGTGTGTGTGTGCGTGTGTGTGTGTGTGTGAGAGGGATGGGTTCGTGGGGGCGGGGGAATGAGCGGAGCTGTTGTTTGGGTTGCTTTTGTAATTTGTTTCGGTGTGTGTGTGTGCGTGTGCATGTGCGTGCGCCGTGCGTGTGTGTGTGTGTGAGGGGTGGGATGGGTGGGGGTTGTGTTTTCATTCCTTTATTAGGGATGGGTTCGTGGGGGCGGGGAATGAGCGGAGCTGTTGTTTGGGTAGTCTGTCTCACAGCCCCTGAACCACATTAATTTCCCTACTGCCAAGCCCTCTCTGCAGTGCTAAAGCCCTAAATAAAACAAGTCTAGATTTCCTCAGGTTCTGAATCTCTGGTCTCCCTAGGGCTCCTTTTCAATATAAATGGGCTTATTTGTTACTATCAAAATTATATATATTCAGAGACTAAGCCTTATTCTATTGTTTGGGTTGTGGCCACAGTTAGGTGACTAGATAACTTCGGAAATAACAAACGTGTCTTACTCCTTATATACCGAGTCGTCAGTAATCCATCCACATTCAATGTCTTCCGACAGGTGCTTTGTCGTACGCCGAACTGGGCACCCTGATCAGGCTGTCGGGGGGCGAATATGCCTACATCCGGGCAGCTCTCGGCAACATCTGCGCATACCTGTACGCATGGACGTCCATTATTGTCATCAGACCCTCCACCCTTGCTATCATCTGTCTCGTATTCGCAGAGTATGTGGCAAGTTTCTTCAGGATGTGCGGCTCACCAGTAATACCAAACAAATTAGTGGCAGCTATCGCGCTGAGTAAGTAGTCATGCTCGTTTCGTTTTACAGTTTGATTTTAATTACTAGTTTGTTTTCTTTTTGTGGATAATATCAATATTAGCAGTCACGTGGATGAAATATAACATGAGAAAATTTGAAGATGGCCCTGTAGACAGCTACAGATCACTTTTTGGGTCATTGAGTTATGTACTCGCGTTTGGTCATCTCAATTAGGTATCCTAATTTTCCTTTGAGTAACGAAATAAATTGTACTCACCTCACTCAAACTCAATTAGGTATTTTGCCATTTTCAATGAATTTTAAAAATATAATAAAATTTAAATGTGAGTGTTTGTGATTTACATTCGATCTGTAATATGGGAAACGATAAGAAAGACTACAAGTTGTCAAGTTCATGTCCTGAAATAGAACCTCTCAATTAACTTCAGTTATTGTATCTATCCACCGGTACGCAAGCTACGATTTGACATTTTTTGTGTGTACGCATGTAAGATCACATTTATTGAGTAATTACAAAACTTCAAGCGTACTTGTACGCAATGGACTTATTAGGAATTGAGTTTTCACATAAATATTTGCGTAATTTACGCAGATACGCAGATTATCTGTACCTCTGTGTACAAGGTACATAAAATTATGCTCACTCACGTGAGTCTATTGTGTTCGAGATTTTGATTCGGGTGGAATTAACAATAACTCCAGACATGTTTCTTCTTCAGTTACGGTGGGTATTGTAAACTGCTGGAGCACCAAGCTGGCCGCCAGGGTGCAGGTTGTCTTCACAGTCGCCAAACTCATCGCTCTATTCATCATCATCATCGGCGGTATAGTCAAGTTAGCGCAAGGTATGCGTAACAAGACTCGGTTTATTTGTACCAAATATGGCATCATTTGTGTAAAACGTATGGACAGGGAAACCTGTGTCGGTGTTAGAGATGGTATTTCGACCCAATGGTGCCCCGTGCACCATGCTTGTGTCATGTAGCCGAAACAGATCGGTTGTTTACAACGTGACTAAACTGGTTCCACTGTTGTGGCACTACACGAGCTTAGCGCTAGTTTGTGTAGAGAGAAGTGAGTGAGTGTAGTTTTACGTCGCATTCAGCAATATTCCTTTATATGTCAGCGGTCTGTAAATAATCGAATCTGGACCAAACAATCCAGTGAACAACAACATGAGCATCGATCTACACTATTGGGATACAATGACATGTGTCAACCAAGTCAGCGAGCCTGGACACACGTTCCCGTAGTCGCCTCTTACGACAAGCATGGGTTGCTGAAGATTAATTCTAACCCGAATCTTCACGGGTTGTCGAGAGAAGCCTAGTTAGATATATGACTTCGCTGATTTTGAAGCTTGCCAACACCTATATGCGTTCAGCATATCACTTAATGTGTCTAGGCATCCAATTAAAGAACTAATGTTTTGTTTGTTTGTTTTATTGCATGTTGTTTTACGCCGCATTCAGCAATGTTCCTGGTATATGATGGCCGTTAAAACATCTGAGTCATACCAATGTACATGTTAGTACACGTACATTAGACTCGACTTAGCATGTATGACAATACGTGATCATAAGATTGGGATAAATAGTTTGTTTGTAAGGTGGAATTGTCAACACTGAAATAGAGACATCTTGTATCTGCAAAACAGCTGAAGAGGGCTTGGCTTCCGGCTTGAAAGGGGATTGGCCACCAGTAATTTAATTGCCTCAGGCAGTGTTGAGTTTTACAAGTTCTCGTGATACGTTGTTAACCGCAGCAATAACACCATTTACTCACCTGTATTATTCACCTTAAGGTTATTTTTCCAGGTAACACGGCTGTTCTGGCGACTGGTTTCACGGGCTCAACAACGTCGCCCTCAGTTATCGCCCTTGCCTTCTATGGTGCATTGTGGGCATACGACGGATGGTAATTGCATTTATTTAATTCAGTGACTGAAATGTATCGGAGTCAGTGAGTGTAGCTTTACGCCGCACTCAGCAATATTCCAGCTATATGGCGGCGGTCTGTAAATAATCGAATCTGGACCAGACAATCCAATGATCGTTATCCAATGATCAACAACATGAGCATCGATCTACGCAATTGGGATACGATGACATATGTCAGCGAACTTGACCATCAGATCCCGTTAGTCACCTCTTACGATAAGCATTGGTAACTGGAGACCGATTCTAACCCGGACGAAAATGTATCGGAAGGTAACGCCAGGGATCTTCAACACAGGCCCTCGTGTCTTTGCGAGGATTAATAGAATAGAGACAGAATACCCTGCATACTCGAGGATGAATAATATCAATGTCCGGACTTTATTAATTACAGGAACTAGATATATATCGTTGTATTGCAAATATATCTGTAAACACACACACGCACGCACGCACGCACGCACGCACGCACGCACCCACACACACACTCACGTACACTTACCTACGTTGCACACTTGCCCCTTATAAGCATAGAAAACATTTGTACTCTTGGAAGTGTTAGAACTGTTTAAATTTATCGTGCATGACACAACTAGCAAATAACACATGCACTTAAAAACGCTGCACTCACACTTGAACACAGTGATGCACTCACGAGAACGCTCTCAATTTACAGGTATATTTACCTGGTTACCTGTTCAAATAGCTCAGACCTTTTTTACTGCCGGAGCCGGTTACTGTGCATGTAGATTATAAACTGCACAAACACCACTCGAAAATATTAAACTTAAGATTATCAGTGTATGGCCCAGGCACATATTCTCCGTCGTTTACATCGTCATAGATGATGTTCCTGCTATATGACGGGCTGTAATTAAGTGTGGACCAGCGATCTAAGATTTGACATCATGAGGTTCGACTCACACAGTTGGGATCCGATGACATCAAACCACCCGACCCATTTAGTCACCTCCTAAGACAAGCCTGGGCTGCTTAGCTTCTACGTTTTTAACCCAACTCATCACAGGTGCTGAAAACGACCCGAGATTCACTTCCGCAAAGACTAGCGAACCTTAGTTGTGCCAGAAGTAGAGGATACTTTTAAGTTTACGAGTTTGAAAAAACAGATACCTTTCTTGTAAAACCTCAATCTGCCTCTCATTAAACGTTCACATGTTCCCAACAATATAAAATGGTGGGTACACGAGAGTGAGTCCATTCTATTTCTAGGGGTGGAAAATATGCCCTAAATAATTTCTAGGCAGCAGTTGAAAAATTTAATAGTTTGTTTTGTGGTAAATACCTAACATGTCTTCCAGATCTGGAGAATAACTCCAGAGAAAAAGGACTCAACCTTAAGTCGAGAATGATTGAGCAAGTCCAGAATGACTTGGCAACACTAGACTGCCTCAGTTTTTGGCCTGAAAATAATAATCGTTTAGGGATTCTTTCGAATTTCTTGATTTTTTTTGTAGATATATCTTTTTTGATAAGCTAAGATACTGTCAGCCGAGAAAATACTCCAAAGTCCTTTTTTTGTGTGAAATAAATAGACTGTCTGATGGTTCTCAGTAAATATATTGAATGCTCTGTGGCCCAACCCGTTAAATCAAATGGATGTTCCCTTTGATGTTAGTATGAATTCGTATCTGTATTTTTCAGGAACAATCTTAACTTTGTTACCGAGGAGATCAAAGAGCCAAAGAAGTGAGTACTGTCACGCTGAACACTTCGTGAGTTGACTCTATGACGTCATGTCCACCTTCACGGTCAGACAAAGCAAAGTATACTCCCATACTAAGTCTTGATGGTGGCTAAACTGGAAGACAGAAAAGTTCCAACAAATCGTCATCATGATACATTGTTTGCGGTGTAATCATCAATCGCTAAACGGATATACAAAGTAGGAAGAAAGTTGGCTTTAATGACTTTAATCAAATTTGCTAGGCCAGCTTAGTACCACTTAAAGATGCTTTGCCTGTGCAGAAACCTTCCTCGGGCCAACATCATCGGCGTCGTCCTCGTCACTATCGTCTACGTCCTCACCAACATCTCCTACTTGGCCGTGCTGAGCACTCAGCAACTGTTAGACTCTGCGGCTGTGGCAGTGGTAAGTTTGGACTGCTCCTCATGCTTCGATAAATCTTGCCGCAAACTGGTTTGGTTTGCTCTGCTTTGTTTGTTGTTTTACGCCGCACTCAGCAATATTCCAACAGTATGGCGGCGGTCCCGCACTCAGCAATATTCCAACAGTATGGCGGCGGTCCGTAAATAATCCAGTCCGGACCTGACACTCCAGGTATCAAAATCATGATCTACGATCCACGCAAGTCGGCGCGAGCCTGACCACCCGATCTGTTAGTCGCCCCTTACGAGACGCATTTTATGTACGTTTCGTATTTAGTTGTGCTATTCTTGTATTTTAATGGCTAAAGGAAAAAACTGTGGATTGGTTGTCGGCGTTTTTCGATAGTAATGCTTGATGCTCGTGCTATTAACCATCGGTTTGAATATTACGCCCATGTTACCGTGGTCGAAGCGTTGCAGTCATATGACACTAGAATACAACCCTTTTCCCAGTTGTCCGGGGAATGTAGTTTTAGGCGTCGTCGTTGTGGCTTTTTGATATGCTTCCACGCTTGTATGCTGACTCTTTGGGTTGTATCTACTTGTGTATTTAGGTCTGTGAAATGCATCCAAGCTGTGTATATTAATGTATGTTGGGATGTAACTTATCTTTCATTTTCGCTTTTTGGAACGTGTGTTTCTTCCTTTCAAAGTGTATCTACCATGTGTGTGACTTTTGACATTTCTTCTCAGACATGGGGTGATCTCATTCTTGGAGCCGCCGCCATCATCATGCCTTTGTCAGTCATGATCTCAACATTCGGGGCGGCAAACGGAACAGCCTTCAGTGGATCCAGGTAAATCTTACTTCTTACTGCATTACTAATGAGGCGATTTGTATATCTGCTTCCTGGAACAGGATTAGTATCCATGGTGATGAATTCTTCGAAATGTCTTGCAGAAGAGCATTTCTCTGGCACCAATAACCCATTGTTCCACACAGGTGTTTCTACGACTAGCAACGTAACAAAGAACTTTTAATTGAAAACAAACAACGAAATACTGTGAAGGACCTTTTTCGAACATTGTCAAATCCTAGAAATGGTCTTCAGCAACCCATACTTGTCGTACGAGGCGACTAACGGGGTCGGGTGGTCAGGCTCGGTGACTTGGTTGATACGTGTCATCGTATCCCAATTGCATAGATCAGTGCTCATGATGTCTCCCATTGTCCAAAACTGGACTTTACAGACCCCCTAGTGCAGCGTTAGATATGTACCCTAAACAAAGATCTTTGAACATCTGAAACATTATCGAGTGGACACGATACTGGCGGGTAAGGTGCTTAGCCGTATATTTGTTTCTGTCATTGGATCCTCACTTACCTGTCATGAGAATGGCGAGTCGGACTAAAGTCAGCTTGCACATTATCGTACCCAGAGTTTTAGGTGTCTCCAGAAGGTGGCGTAAAACAACACCCATTTTAATCTGTTGCTAGGGTGGTGTACGCCGCGGCCCGCGACCACAACCTGCCGGACGTGTTGTCGTACATCCAGGTGAAGCAGCTCACGCCGATGCCGTCGATGTTATTTACGGTACGTACAACGCCGTCTTGTTGTTTCTCTTTTGAAGCTGGAAATGCAAGGCATTAGGTATATATAACCAGAAGTATATAAAAAATATTATTTTCATATTGTTTATTGCATGCAAGAAAAGACCAAGTACGAGTCTCCCCGTAAAGAGAGTCCCCTCACATCGGGATTGCATCGCTACACCGGTTGGTGAATATACTCATGCCAATAATGGTTGTCACCCCCCTCACCACCCCAACCTCACACACACTCACACCGACACCCCCTCTCCAATTAAAATAATTGAAGTATATTTTACCAAGGCAAGGTTAAATATTTCTCACCATCGGAATACAATGTTCCCCGGTGGGTCTTCATGCTATCAACCACTGCTGTATCTGTTCGAAGCCCATGTTACACCACACGCCTCTGCAATATTCAACCTACCGTACTACTGAGTGAATGATAATGGTTGTACCTCGCTTTTAGGATTATTCCAGCAATATCACGGCGGGGGACACCAGAAATGGGCTTCACGCGTTGTACCAATGTGGAGAATCGAACCCGGGCTTCGGCGAACGCTTTAACCACTAGGCTACCCCACCGTCCACGATCTATTAGAGGTATGACGGACGTGTTGGCTACAGATATGTCACATGTCGGAGAGCCGCAGAAGAACAATTGCAGCAATAATCAAAACTATTTTTCCTTGTTCAGATCTTCATCTCCCTCCTCATGATCATCCCCGGCGACATCGGCAGCCTCATCGACTTCTTCAGCTTCACCGCCTGGGCGTTCTACGGCATGACCTTCCTGTCCCTTATCGTCCTCAGGTTCAGGATGAAGGACGCACCAAGACCATATAAGGTAAACAGTCGACATGTGTATCTAAAATCACCATGGCAACCTTTATGGTATGTGGGGTGATCTAATATCCCTAACTACGGGCAAAGTCATGTTGTCAATCACGCTCGCAGGCAAAACAAAGTGGTCCATCACGACCCCAACTAATGCAAGGTGGACCAACACAATCCCAGGAAAAATAAGGTGGTCCAACACAATCCCGATAAATTAAGATGATCCAACAAAATCCCGATACATAAAGGTGATCCAACACAATCCCGATAAATGAAGGTGGTCCAACACAATCCCGATAAATTAAGGTGGTCCAACGCAATCCCGATAAATTAAGGTGGTCCAACACAATCCCAGGAAAAGTAGGGTGGTCTAACACAATCCCGAGAAATTAAGATTTTCCAACACAATCCCAGGAAAAATAAGGTGGTCCAACACAATCTCGAGAAATAAAGCTGGTCCAACACAATCCCAGGAAAAGTAAGTTCGTCCAACACAATCCTGATAAACTTAGATGGTCCAACAAAATCCCGACAATTTAAGGTTGTCCAACACAATCCAGAGAAAGTAAGGTGGTCCAACACAATCCCGATAAATTAAGATGGTCCGACAAAATCCCAACAATTTAAGGTTGTCCAACACAATCCCGAGAAATTAAGGTGGTCCAACACAATCCCAGGGGAAGTAAGGTGGTCCGACACAATCCCAAGAAAGTACGGTGGTACAACACTATCCCGAGAAATTAAGGTGGTCCAACACAATGCTAGGGAAAGTAAGGTGGTCCAACACAATCCCTGAGAACGTAAGGTGGTCCAACACAAACCCGATAAAGTAAGGTGGTCCAACACAATCCCAGGGGAAGTAAGGTGGTCCAACACAATCCCAGGGGAAGTAAGGTGGTCCAACACAATCCCAGGGGAAGTAAGGTGGTCCAACACAATCCCAGGGGAAGTAAGGTGGACCAACACAATCCCGAGAAATGACGGTGGTCCATCACAATCCCGAGAAATTAAGGTGGTCCAACGCAATGCTAGGGAAAGTAAGGTGGTCCAACACAATCCCAGAGAAAGCAAGGTGGTCCAACACAATCCCAGGGGATGCAAGGTGGTCCAACACAATCCCAGGGAAAGTAAGGTGGTCCAACACAATCCCAGGGGAAGTAAGGTGGTCCAACACAATCCCGATAAATTAAGATGGTCCGACAAAATCCCAACAATTTAAGGTTGTCCAACACAATCCCGAGAAATTAAGGTGGTCCAACACAATCCCAGGGGAAGTAAGGTGGTCCAACACAATCCCAAGAAAGTACGGTGGTACAACACTATCCCGAGAAATTAAGGTGGTCCAACACAATCCCAGGGGAAGTAAGGTGGACCAACACAATCCCGAGAAAGTACGGTGGTCCATCACAATCCCGAGAAATTAAGGTGGTCCAACACAATGCTAGGGAAAGTAAGGTGGTCCAACACAATCCCAGAGAAAGCAAGGTGGTCCAACACAATCCCAGGGATGCAAGGTGGTCCAACACAATCCCAGGGAAAGTAAGGTGGTCCAACACAATCCCAGGGGAAGTAAGGTGGTCCAACACAATCCCGATAAATTAAGATGGTCCGACAAAATCCAAACAATTTAAGGTTGTCCAACACAATCCCGAGAACTTAAGGTTGTCCAACACAATCCCAGGGGAAGTAAGGTGGTCCGACACAATCCCAAGAAAGTACGGTGGTACAACACTATCCCGAGAAATTAAGGTGGTCCAACACAATGCTAGGGAAAGTAAGGTGGTCCAACACAATCCCCGAGAAAGTAAGGTGGTCCAACACAAACCCGATAAAGTAAGGTGGTACAACACAATCCCAGGGGAAGTAAGGTGGTCCAACACAATCCCAGGGGAAGTAAGGTGGTCCAACACAATCCCAGGGGAAGTAAGGTGGTCCAACACAATCCCAAGGGAAGTAAGGTGGACCAACAAAATCCCAGGGGAAGTAAGGTGGTCCAACACAATCCCAAGAAAGTACGGTGGTCCAACACAATCCCGAGAAATTAAGGTGGTCCAACACAATGCTAGGGAAAGTAAGGTGATCTAACACAATCCCAGAGAAAGCAAGGTGGTCCAACACAATCCCAGGGGATGCAAGGTGGTCCAACACAATCCCAGGGAAAGTAAGGTGGTCCAACACAATCCCAGGGGAAGTAAGGTGGTCCAACACAATCCCAAGATATTACAGTGATCCAACACAATCCCGAGAAATTAAGGTGGTCCAACACAATGCTAGGGAAATTAAGGTGGTCCAACACAATCCCAGATAAAGTAAGGAGGTCCAACACAATCCCAAGAACGTAAGGTGGTCCAACACAATCCCAGAGAAAGTAAGGTGGTCCAACACAATCCCAAGAACGTAAGGTGGTCCAACACAATCCCAAGAACGTAAGGTGGTCCAACACAGTCCGAGAGAAAGTAAGGTGGTCCAACACAATCCAACACAAGACAATCCCAAGAACGTCCAACGCAATCCCGAGAAAGTAAGGTGGTCCAACACAATCCCAAGAACGTAAGGTGGTCCAACACAATCCCGAGAACGTAAGGTGGTCCAACACAATCCCAGAGAGAGTAAGGTAGTCAAACACAATCCTAGGGAAAGGAAGGCGGCCCAGCACAATCCCAAGAAATTAAGGTGGTCCAATACAATCCCAGGAAAAAGTGGTCCAATACAATCCCAGAAATAGGTGGTCCAACACAATCCCAGGGAAGGTAAGATCTTTCTTTCAAAGTGGGGACCGCATTTCGCTATGCATTGTTGCGCCCTTTAGACATGCCTGAAACCCTCTATTGTGGGGTTCGGATCCGGGTTTGGTCTGTATCCGTTCCTTTGAGTTTCACCACCAAAGTGGCAGGGGTGGTATAGCGTAGCCGAGTGGTTAAAGCGTTCGTTCGTCATCCGAAGGCCCGGGTTCGATTCCTCATATGGGTGAAGCCTATGTCTGGTGTCGCCCGCCGTGATATTGCTAGAATATTGCTAAAAGCGTCGTATTTCGATACTCACTCACACAATATTTCACTGACAGATGTAAGTTGCATCTACAGTGATTGGCGTGTATGACAATCACAGTTGATTTCAAATTAATAAGATTACATACTCATTGTCTTGTTCGATGAGATATGTTTCTCTAAGATTATACTTGTTTTTATTTCCGCAAAGCCAAATACGGGCGTAGAACCATACCCACTCACCCACTCGTTCTTTTGTCAAATTGTTCATGATTGTTTTTCCCGCAGGTCCCAATACCTATCCCCGTGATAATGTTCCTGGTGTCCATCTACCTGGTAATAGCCCCTATCGTGGACAACCCGCAGATGGGGTTCCTGTATGCCTTCCTGTTTGTCATAGGAGGGCTTATCCTGTACTTCCCATTCGTACATTTCAAGCTCAAGCTGTGTGGATGGGGTAAGTACGCTGGATAATACACACTGCTATACACAGAAGCTTGGTGTTAGTGGGAAAATATTCCCCTGGCGATTTTACAGGTGTATTCACGGCCAGTTCTTTACTAGTGTGACCCGTGAAGATCCGGGTTAGAACTGATCTTCAGCAACCCATGCTTGTCTTAAGAGGCGACTAACGGGATCGGGTGGTCTGGCTCGCTGGCTTGGTTCACACGTCATCGGTTCCCAAATTGCGCAGATCGTTGCTCATGATGTTGATCACTGGATTGTCTGGTCCAGACTCGATTATTTACAGATCGTCGCCATATAGCTGGAATATTGCTGAGTGCGGCGTAAAACTAAACTCACTCACTCTTTACTAGTGTAACATACCATATACTTGGGACAACACTTTCTCAGTAAGGTACAGATTCTAGTACCTTTGTTGGATCGAGTCCCAAACGGGATTCGAACCCACACTGTCAGAGTCAGGCAGATAATCACGAGCACACAAAGTCAGTTCTTGCCTCTTGTCACAATGTTGGACCAATAGTCGAGAAAAACAGTTAAAATGTTGACACAATGTAGTTGAAATGTAGTCACACTGTAGTCATACTGTATACAATTGTGATCACATTATGGTCAGTTTACACAAACAATGCGATGACAATGTAGTCATACTGTAGTCATAATGTATACAATAGTCATACTGTATACAATTGTGATCACATTATGGTCAGTTTACAGACACAATGCAATGACAATGTAGTCACACTGTAGTCATACTGTATACAATTGTGATCACATTACGGTCAGTTTACAGACACAATGCAATGACAATGTAGTCACACTAGTCATACTGTATACAATTGTGATAACATTATGGTCAGTTTACAGACACAATGCGATGACAATGTAGTCATACTGTAGTCATACTGTATACAATTGTGATCACATTATGGTCTGTTTACAGACACAATGCGATGACAATGTAGTCACACTGTAGTCATACTGTATACAATTGTGATCACATTATGGTCAGTTTACAGACACAATGCCATGACAATGTAGTCACACTGTAGTCATACTGTATACAATAGTGATCACATTATGGTCAGTTTACACAAACAATGCGATGACAATGTAGTCACACTGTAGTCATACTGTATACAATTGTGATCACATTATGGTCAGTTTACAGACACAATGCGATGACAATGTAGTCACACTGTAGTCATACTGTATACAATTGTGATCACATTATGGTCAGTTTACAGACACAATGCCATGACAATGTAGTCACACTGTAGTCATACTGTATACAATTGTGATCACATTATGGTCAGTTTACAGACACAATGCAATGACAATGTAGTCACACTGTAGTCATACTGTATACAATGCCATGTGATCACATTATGGTCAGTTTACAGACACAATGCGATGACAATGTAGTCACACTGTAGTCATACTGTATACAATTGTGATCACATTATGGTCAGTTTACAGACACAATGTTTACAGACACAATGCGATGACAATGTAGTCACACTAGTCATGTAGTCATACTGTATACAATTGTGATCACATTATGGTCAGTTTACAGACACAATGCGATGACAATGTAGTCACACTGTAGTCATACTGTATACAATTGTGATCACATTATGGTCAGTTTACAGATCACATTATGGTCAGTTTACAGACACAATGCCATGACAATGTAGTCACACTGTAGTCATACTGTATACAATTGTGATCACATTTTGGTCAGTTTACAGACAATTGTGATCACATTATGGTCAGTTTACAGACACAATGCGATGACAATGTAGTCATACTGTAGTCATACTGTATACAATTGTGATCACATTATGGTCAGTTTACAGACACAATGCCATGACAATGTAGTCACACTGTAGTCATACTGTATACAATTGTGATCACATTACGGTCAGTTTACAGACACAATGCAATGACAATGTAGTCAAACTAGTCATACTGTATACAATTGTGATCACATTATGGTCATACTGTATACAATAGTTTACAGACACAATGCGATGACAATGTAGTCATACTGTATACAATTGTGATCACATTATGGTCTGTTTACAGACACAATGCGATGACAATGTAGTCACACTGTAGTCATACTGTATACAATTGTGATCACATTACGGTCAGTTTACAGACACAATGCCATGACAATGTAGTCACACTGTAGTCATACTGTATACAATTGTGATCACATTATGGTCAGTTTACAGACACAATGCGATGACAATGTAGTCACCCTGTAGTCATACTGTATACAATTGTGATCACATTATGGTCAGTTTACACAAACAATGCGATGACAATGTAGTCATTCTGTAGTCATACTGTATACAATTGTGATCACATTATGGTCAGTTTACAGACACAATGCGATGACAATGTAGTCACACTGTAGTCATACTGTATACAATTGTGATCACATTATGGTCAGTTTACAGACACAATGCGATGATGACAATGTATACAATATTGATCACATTATGGTCAGTTTACAGTAGTCATACTGTATACAATTGTGATCACATTATGGTCAGTTTACAGACACAATGCCATGACAATGTAGTCACACTGTAGTCATACTGTATACAATTGTGATCACATTATGGTCAGTTTACAGACACAATGCCATGACAATGTAGTCACCCTGTAGTCATACTGTATACAATTGTGATCACATTATGGTCAGTTTACAGACACAATGCCATGACAATGTAGTCACGCTCTATACAATGGTTATTATCACATTACGTCAGTACGTAGTCACACTGTTAAAATGCTGAATGTACTGTAGTTAAAATGTAACAATATAGTTTTAGTTTACTCACCAGGTAATCATTCTGTGGAAAATGTAGGAACAATGTAGTTAGATCTAGGTTGTCTTCAGCAACCCATGCTTGTCGTAAGAGGCCACTAACGGGATCGGGTGGTCAGACTCGCTGACACATGTCATCGTATCCCAATTGCGCAGATCGATTCTCATAGTGTTGATCACTGGATTGTCTGGTTCAGACCCGATTATCTACAGTCGGCCGCCATATAGCTGGAATATTGCTGTGTGGGGCGTTAAATAACAAACAAATCACAATGTAGTTACACTGTAGTCATAAACAGCGGTATTTGTATAAACAGCAGTATTTGTGATCTATGTATAAATATTTACACTTTTTATGTTCAGAAATACGAATATGATTGAAAACATCTTTGTGTGTCATTCCAGATCGCATCACCATGTACTGCCAGCTGGTCTTTAACATAGTTCCGTCATCCGTGGAACCTGATGAATAATCAACCTTATAAACTGAAGGCTAATGTCTTGGAACACATAAAGGCGAGAATTTATCGATGTCAGCTTCTTTATTTTGTGTTCCTCAAAATAAATAAGTTGGCATCCATAAATTCTCGCCTTTATGAAGGCTACTGTTGTGTCAGTATGCCCCACGGTCATCGCACATCGCAGATCAGAACAGAGGCAATATACAGCAAGATGGCGGCATCCGTAGGAGGTGTTGGTAACAGCTCCGTCTCTCACAACACCCCTTGCCAAGAACGTGTTACCGACCACCGCTAAACTTCGATCTCTTTGTAAAGCAGTTTGTGGGGTGGGGACATCATCATGAGGCCAAACACTTACTGTTTCTGCTTAAGCACACTCTTGGAATGGTCAGCGCTCATTTTGTAATTTCAACTGGACATGTAGTAGATCTTCCCAAGTTTCTTCATAAATCGTTGTATTGCGAACTTTCGTTTATCCGGACATTGTTAATATGGACAACTTCTCTTCAGGCGATTATATTACGCCCGAGAGCACCTATGTGTATTTAATGTCATGTGTATTAAATGTGTATATTACAATATACAATGCCGAGAATAGTTGAAACGGCGTAAAGCAATATGTATATATTCATAACTACTTACTAATAACCCGTCTGTCCGGGTTAACAGGGTTCTATTTGATTTTAGTTTCAAAACAAAACGTTAAGTACTCTAGGTTACAAACTCTGTAGAGTTGTCTCTCTTTAGCAGTTGCACGATTTGATTCTCATGGGTTCAGAGTATAGATGTGTCCCGTGTATGATAGGTCACCACACGTATTTGTCGGGTCACCAAAGTATCAACGTAATTTGGGCTTTCATGCCACGGGAACGCCCAGCTGACAGTCGGTGATGTAACTGAAACATACTGTGGAAAATCACCTTAATCAAATATAGAAGCGACAAACCCTTCTCCATATTTATAAGAAATCTCTGCTAAATTCGCTCATGTACCTGGCCAGATACATAAAACCTTGGTCGGTTTGGGCTTACATCAATGTAAACATTAAGCTGACACGCTGAGTCTACTGAAAGACCGTTCAAAGCAGCGTTGATCCCATCTCTATGTTCCCCGTTTTAGACAAAATGGACCCGTGAAGACCCGGGGTAGAATAGGTCATTAGCAACCCATACTTGCCACAAAAGGCGACTATGCTTGTCGTAAGAGGCGACAAATGGGATCGGGTGGTCAGACTCGCTGACTTGGTTGACACATGTCATCGGTTACCAATTGCGCAGATCGATGCTCATGCTGTTGATCACTGGATTGTCTGGTCCAGACTCGATTATTTACAGACCGCCGCCTTATAGCTGGAATATTGCTGAGTGCGGCGTAAAACTAAACTCACTCACTCACTCATTTAGACAAAATGTACGTATAACTTACTAGTAAATTGGCAACATGATGCATTGTTTAGTAAATGATATTTGTTCGAATGTGACATCAGTAGATCCTGACGGGCGTCTTTGACTTCTTTTGATTAAAGAGGAACACTTTTTATCGATAGATAACTTCTCAATAGATGCGACGTTTCGATTTAGATGCTTACACCATTATCAAGCAAATGACATTGCACCTTATCATTTGCTTGATTACATTGTCAGGATCTACACCGAAACATCGCATCTATTGCAATATAGATGTTGTCTGTCCATAAAAACAAAATCCTCTTCATCATGTCAGCTGCTAAACGCCCCTTAAAGAAGATCGTTTGGGTAGTATATACTATATGAATTAACAGGATAGTATTGCAACACAACAAAATTGAAAATATCAATGAACTGTATACATGTTCACGTCTACCTTAACAATATGTATAGAACATTGGGCACGGTTCCTCAAAGCGATCTTAGCGCTATATAAGGCGATCGTGACCATATTTTAACATGGGCGTACGGTATACCGGTAGTAGGAGGGCTGAGATCGCTTTGTGTAACGGGGCCTTGGAAATGTACCCATGGACCTGAGTGAAGTACATGTACTTACTGTGTGGCGTCCGGTATGGGATCGATAAAACTCGATTTACTAGTTCTAATTTTATACAGTTTACATTATATTATATACAATATTATATGCAGTGTACGTGTATGTTTTTGATATTTTGATACTTTTGAAATAAAATAATATGTCCACAGTTTATTTCCGTTGGTATGTTAATGGTCCAGGGTGGAAGGGGGCCGTGCTTGTCCCGCTTGACATCTTCCCCCAAAAAGGGAGCTAACTCCCCACTAAAGTCCAGTTTCCTCCCTTGATACATTGGGCTGGAATTTCGCTGCTCGATCGTAGCACCACCAGTGGCTATTACTAGTTACGTCCATTCTATATTAATCCTATTTTATCATTTTGATTGACGATTTAACTTTTGACGGGATACCCCCGAAGATCCGAGCAAGACTGGTTTACAGTCGTAAGAGGCGACTAATGAATCGGGTGGTCAGGCTCGCTGACTTGGTTGACACATGTCATCGTATCCCAATTACGTAGATCGATGCTCATGCTGTTGACCACTGGATTGTCTGGTCCAGGCTCGATTATTTACGGACCGCCGCTATATAGCTGGAATATTGCTGGGTGCGGCGTAAAACAACAGATAAACAAACAAACAACCAAAGCAGAGGGGAAATCGTACAGCCATGAGTGGGAAGTACGGATCCACTCGGATTAGTCCGTTACCTACATGACACCTTGGTCAATACCAAATCGTGTCATTGCACCATTTCACTATAGCATCTCGACTGTGTTCCTGCTTATGTAGTTTGAACAACTTGACGGCTGATTTTATAGAAATGTTTTTAATGATTAATATATAGAATTCATAACAAGTAGCACTTTTGTATGGACCGCCGGCACCGCCGGCACCGCCGGCACATTGGGTTGTATAACAAAATGGTAAACTTCAATATGGGTTGTTCCAAATGACCCGGACTGAGATGAGCCGACACAATGCCACCAAGGGGAGATAATTCAAAGTCGTGACGTAGGTGCAAACATTTCTTTAACAAGTTCTGCTGCGTGAACGGCCGTTCCCCAACTCAAACTGATGCCAGTCGTCCCGTGACCGTAGTTATGCACAACCTGGAAAATGAGATCAGTGAGTGAGTTTAGGTTTACGCGGCTTTTAGCAATATTCCAGCAATATCACGGCGGGGACACCAGAAATGGGCTTCACATATTGTACCCATGTTAGAAATCGTACCCGGGTCTTCGGCGTGATGAGTGAACGCTTTAACCACTGGGATACCCCACCGCCCTACCAACGTTTAGGAGACTAGCGTTTATTCATTATTTAATAACGCATTACAGAGAAGACTCGCTAACGCCATTTAGGGTCGCTAGAGTAGCGAAAGCGTTCCTTCGCCCGCATTATTACCCAGCCTCTTAAGTCTTATCCCACCGGGTACCCATTCACTGCAGGGTGAACACAGGCGATTTTGAACGAACTCACATGTCTAAGGGTACAATATGGAAAGCGCCCCGTTATATAAAAGCGGGGTACCACCACACTCACCTAACTGGCACCTAATGACCCTATGTACAGACGAAGTAACTTGATGGCTCAGGCATAAATGTTACGCTGCTTGTCTCGAAGTACGGATACCTCGTCATAACGCAGTGGTGCCGTAGATTTCGAGTGAGTTTGATTGCCATTTCGATGTTTGCAATACTCGTGAAATGAAGACATTTGAGTGAGTATGGTTATACGCCGCGTTTAGCAATATTCCAGCAATATCACGGCAGGGGACACCAGAAATGGTCTTCACACATTGTACCCATGTGGGGAATCGAGCCCCACGATCACTGAATCGGTCATCAGCGTGAAGAGCGAGCGAACGCTTTAACTACTAGGCTAACCCACCGCCCCGAAAACATTTAAGAGCCACGATACCAGCTATATTGTGTTTGCATGATACGAAGACAGTCCCGTCTGCTAACTATGAAAGACGATCATTCAACTGAAATAGAGGCCAGTTGTATTGTTTTGTCAGAAAAGAAAGACTATGTGAAACATACAAGCCCAGTGAGATTTAAACGATCTGAAAATATCTTTGATATATACTGATATTGATTATGTGTTAAGTCCCCTGGGCAATTTGAAGACAGGTATATATAGCATATGTGGAACATACAAACCCACCGACTCTCAATCAGTCTGAACATATCGTTGATACATATTGATTGTATAAATATACCCAGCAGCTAAAAAAACGTCCGTACGAACTCAAAATTAGATAGTCACTGTAATCAAATCATTACAGAAATAGACATAATAAGCGGAACAAAAACATTTGTTGTGTACAATATCTTGACACATCAATGAATAACTCAGCACAATTTCAAGACATTACGTGAACGTTTGCAGTCCATTCAGACCCTTGACTTCAGTATCTAGTGTGACCACCACGAGAGGCAATAACTGCAGCACAGCGTCTATGCATGGAGTACACCAATCGATTGATGAAGGCCATTGGCACCTTGAACCACACTCTGAGAAAGGGCTGGCGCAATAAATCGGCTGTGTTCGGCCTTGGTATGACATTATTCAGTCTCCTCTGAATTTCATCCCAAAGATGTTCAACTGGGTTTAAATCAGGACTAAGGGCTGGCCACTGCATAATGTTGACACCGTTCTGCTGTAGGAAGTCCCGTGTAGCTCTGGCAGTATGGGCCAGGGCGTTATCATGCTGGAAATGTTGTTTCGGTGACGTGCGATTGTGGTATGACGTGGGGTCTGAGAGCTTGGTCGATGTAGCGCACCGCTGTGATGCCGCCTCCTCTCCCTTGACCAAGGTTCTGGAACACCACAGGACCCACTCTCTTGTTCAGGCCTATTCCACCCCATACCGTGATGCTTGCACCTCCCCATGAGTCTCTTTCCATAATGAGCGAAATATTCTCAAGCACGACGTTAAACCCACTTTCACCTCACCTCACCTCTTTCCATAACACATTGGTCTGAGTAACGCTGGCCACGTCGTCGCCATTTTCTTGTTCTGCCATCCGCAGTTGATACGCAGTACCGACTCTCATCTGTGAACAGAACAGTTCTCCATTGCCTGTATCGCCAGTTTTGGTGTTGTAGGGCAAACTGTAGACGTTCACGCCGATGACGAGGGGTGAGGATAGGTCCACAGTAAGGTCTACGGCAATGGTGGTTCCCGCTGTTAAGACGTCGCTGTACTGTATCAGTACTGATTGGTCTTCCATGTTTTCTCACTGTCTGGCGTGCTGTTTCGGATGCCTGCATGAAGGGATTCTGTACATGCTGTCGCACAACATGGCGGTCTTGTCGTCTTGTGGTCACCCTTGGTCTGCCAGTACGGGGGCGATCATTTGTGGTGTTGGTGGCCCGGAAACGTTGCTATGGTCCGAACTTCGACCTGGAACTGATTGGCAACGGCTTGTGCAGTGTGGCCAGCTTCAAGTCTTCCTAGCGTCTGGTTCCTCTGAGCTGTCGTGAGTCGCGGCACCCTGCTGACGTTGTAATGTAAATGTTTTAACCAGGTTTGGGGGTGCATTTTATAGGGCTGGTCCTTGTGAACGGCACGTGCAGCATAAGTTGCATGAAAAACATCTCCGAGATCAGGTTGCGTTTTTGAGACCATTTCATGGGTTCCATTCTGAGTTTGGGAAGGAATGTCTTTGCTCAGGTAAAGTTGAAGATGTTGTCACAAATATACAATCAAAACATTAAATGAGTTTACAGTTATCCGTTTCTGCGAAGGAAAATTCCAAACTGACGTTTCTTTTGCTGCTTAGTATATAACCCACAAAACCATTTCATAACCATGAAGGGCTGTGTTATATGGATCATTGATAGTGATTGACGAAACGATCCCAAACACTCGCATAGGTCGTCAATGTTTACATTGGAAAATTACGTGAAGATCTTAGTACAAATAGGGATTTGAATTACACATCACATATTTGATTTGACCTCCTACCTTGAGGCTCTTGTTTCCATATCGGATGACCTCAGGCTCCACTCTGGGGGGAACCCTGTGGGGCCTCAGTCCCGTCCACTCCCACAACGGTCTAGCTTTCTGGAAACAAAAGGACAATCACTATACAGGCTCTCCAGTAAAGGTCACGGTCATACAGCAGTGAAACTCTTCTGAGTTTTGTCGAGTTTGTTTTTCGTTTGACGCCGAACTCAGCAATATTCTTGTCGTAAGAGGCGACTAATGGGATCGGGTGGTCAGGCTCGCTGACTTGGTTGACACATGTCATCGGTTCCCAAATGCGCAGATCGATGCTCATGCTGTTGATCACTGGATTGTCTGGTCCAGACGCGATTATTGACAGACCGCCGCCATATAGCTGAGTGCGGCGTAAAACTAAACTCACTCACTTTGATCTGACCCCAAAATTAAAAACACCTCCAAAATGTGCCTATGGTTGAAAACAGTCGCCAAAACACAGCAAACACAATGAAAAGAACCACGACACATATGGCTACCGCAACAAATACATCACCATCACAAGAATAATTATTTCATGGATCATATTCAGCCACCATCCTACCAATGAGATCATTGGATTGTTCTGACACTGAAACCTACAATACAAATACTTGCTGACCTTAAGGTAGTCTGTCTCACAGTCCCTGAACCACATTATTTTCCCTACTGCCTAGTCTGTCTCACAGTCTCTGAACCACATTATTTTCCCTACTGCCAAGTCTGTCTCACAGTCCCTGAACCACATTATTTTCCCTACTGCCTAGTCTGTTCACAGTCCCTGAACCACATTATTTTCCCTACTGCCAAGCTCTATCTGCCGTGTTAATGCCCTAAATAAAGCAAGTCTAGATTTCCTCAGGTTCTGAATCTGGTCTCCCGGGGCTCCTTTTTAATTTAAATGGGTTTATTTGTTAGTATCAAAATCATATATACATATACAGTATATATTCAGAGACTCAGCGTAAGTCTTACCTTAAGGATACAAGAAATGTGTTTATCCCTCTTGCATAGAAATACATGTCTCACCTTCTGTCCAAAATCCTTTGATTAGAAGTAAACGCTAAAGCAGATCCCAAATACTGTATCTGAAGAATTTATTACGTCCGACATCCAGCGTGGCTTCACACACCTTTATACCCTTTACTGTGTCAGTAAAGCTGTCGCTGTCATATCAGTTGGTCACTGACTTCACAGAGTTAAAGTGAGTGAGTGAACATATTTTTAAGCCGCTTTTAGCAATATTCCAGCAATATCACGACGAGGGATACCAGAAATGGGCTTCACACATTGTGCCCATGTGGGTAATCGACCCCGGGTATCGGCGTGACAGATCCCCGACACTACACAGATCCTTTAACCGTCGGGCTACCACCACCGACCCACTGAGGTACACATTCCTGGCTGCCTTTGTAGTAAGGAATCTTAGCAATCTTAGCAATCTTATCGCTAAGGCGATCGTAACTCCAATACCTTAAAATACATTTTTAATTCATTCTCTAGGGTGTGAGCAGGGTTGCGGTGTGGGAGGGAGTGATTGTTTTCTCTTTCCAGATGTCAAGGGAATATCAAGTACCTTGAGGGGAGGCCACAGCTTAGTGATGTTCTCCCAGATGTGCTTGGACGTATCATGGCTCACGCTGGTGTCGTAATCCCCGACAGTCTTGATGCCTCCAATACCAACGTTGTCCACACTGAAACAATCCACGATGTTTTTACTGTTTATGTAACGTGCAAGTTTACGGTGAAATAACATATTCTCTAAGTATAACTCGACTATAATGATTCATGTTTTCCATACACACACGTGTCTATGCAAGTCATAAAAAGAAGACTAACGGGCTCAAGTGTTCAGGCTCCCTGACTAACTGATGTGTTTCATCGTATCTCATGGCGTTGCTCATGGTGTTGATCAATGGACTGTCAATTCAGAATCGTTTATTTATAGACCGTCATCATGTAGCCACAGATCCCGACATCAGATCCCCGACACTACACATATCCTGATATCAGATCCCCGACACTACCCATATATCCCCATCATCCTGATACCCAGATCCTGATATCCGATTCCCACTACCCATATCCTGATATCAGATCCTGATATCAGATTCCCGACACTACACATATCCTGATATCAGATCCCCATACACTACCAAATTCCCGACACTACACAGATCCTGATATCATATCCCCGACACTACACAGATCCCCACTACATGGATCCCCGACACTACCCAAATTCCGACACTGCACAGATCCTGATATCGGATTCCCGACACTACAGATCCAAGACACTATCCAAGACACCATCCATATCCTTATATCAGATTCTCACTACACAGATCCTGATATCGGATTCCCGACACTACACAGATCCAAGACACTACACGGATCCCCGACACTACAAAATTCCCAACACTGCACAGATATCCTGACATCAGATCCCCAGCACAATGCATAGATCCTGATATCGGATTCCCGACACTACACAGATCCAAGACACAACACGGATCCTTGACACTACACAGATCCAAGACACCATCCATATCCTTATATCAGATTCTAAACACTACACAGATCCTGATATCGGATTCCCGACACTACACAGATCCAAGACACTACACGGATCCCCGACACTACAAAATTCCCAACACTGCACAGATCCTGATATCGGATCCCCGACACTACACAGATCAAGACACTACCAATGTCCTGATATCAGATCCCCAACACTTCACAGATCCTGATATCGGATTCCTGACACAACACAGATCCAAGACACTACACGGATCCCCGACACTACAAACATTCCCGACACTGCATAGATCCTGATATCAGATCCCTGACACTACACAGACCCCTATCGCAGAGGTCAGCTACAATAAAAGGTCTTATAGCGCCGCCCTAACATGTTAGTAAATCAGAGCCCATGCCACAAACTACTTCCATGTCTTACTTGGGGATAAAGTAGAATGAGTTAGAGCTGTGTAGGAAGTGTTTCACCCATGGAGCGGACACCTGCAGGTGAGAAAGAAGCAAAATATATTTTATGACATAAAAAAATGTTCGTTTGTTATATTTCTTTCGAGACAGCAACACGGGATTCGATCATCCTTCAGTGAGTGGTGTTGATATGCACTTAACAATGTAATATCATTTCTGTGCCATTCTATTTCTTTTGCTTCCAGGGGCGATGGGGTAGTCTAGTGGTTAAAGCATTCGCTCGTCACGCCGGGTTCGATTCCCCACATGGGTACAATGTGTGAAGCCCATTTGTGGTGTCCCATCGTGCTATTGCTGGAATATTGCTAAAAGTGGCGTAAAACTGAACTCACTCACTCTTTTGTTTCCCCCAACCTACGTATAGTTGAACTTGCACATAAAAATCTTTTCAATTAACCGACCAAGTATGCTTGGGGAAACACTCTGCAAACCGTGAAGTGAGTGAGTATGGTTTTACGCCGCATTTAGCAATATAGTGTAACAATATCGCGGCAGTTGACAGTATTAATGGTTTCGCATGGCACTATAACGAAAGCAACTCGCATTACATTTGCATGTACGCGGTTAATTTAAATAATTACACAATGTGCATAGAATAACGACTGGTCGACGGTAAATGGCCCAGTGGCTACACTACTTTAAGGTAAGAGGGGCGGTGGGGTAGTTTAGTGGTTAAAGCGTTCGCTCGTCACGCTGAAATACATGAGTACAATGTGTGAAGCCCATTTCTGGTGTCCCCCGCGGTGGTATTGCTGGAAGTAAACTCACTCACTTTAAAGGTAAGACACGAAAGACAATCGAGCTGGTGACGTATTTAGGTCAGGGTGAACTGTTCCACTGTCACCACGGAGTGTTATCAGGTGGGTCAAACACATAGGTGAAGCTATTGGTGTCGAAAGCCTCAGATCCCAAAGTCTCCGCGCCAACCCCGCTCACCTAGATATTTTGTTTATTCATCCTTGGGTTCCCACGCTCACTCATTTTTTCTCTCACTCACCCTCAGCATCTGCCCCCTCATTGGCTGCAACTTCTCGTCTCCAGTCAGGGCCTTGGCCCCTAACCCAGCACAGTTAACCACCACGTCATACTCGGCTTCAAGCTGTGAAAATGAAGGAAAACCTTTGTGGCATGTCACTGAATTATATTTAACAGGACTTTTCAGTCATCAGTCATCAGTAAAACTGAGTCTCAACAATCCCATTTTCACATATATACTGACCGCCGAAAGAAACGTGAAGTTCACGTGAAGTTCACCAATATCTACTGTGACGTAAATCTACAGTGTTGAATAGGTTTCTCATACCCTGAATACTGTTTTTCACGGCAAAAGAAAAATGATTACCACAAACGCAGAATACGTGACGTCACACATCACTGAAATGTGAACACAATGGTTTCCAATTTGCCTGTGCAGAGATAGGTCGTGAATTGTGGATAAAAATATTATTTTTTAACCTACATCCGTGATCAACGCGTGTTATTCCGGGGCAAGCCGAATATCTTCTTGGATTTTACAGAAACTGAATATTTAACTGTACAGCCATTGCGCAAAACCATCACCGACACGACCTGTTCTGCGCAGCCTATCCGGCCAGCGAGAACGCGTGTTCATTGCAGTCATTGTTTTGCCTTATTTTGAATGCAAAGGGTGATTTTTTAAATATATATTTATTTGAATGTTTTTTGTAACATTGACACCCTTCCATCTGAGATTTGTTAGTGCACTAAAGGATATTGTTGCCACGGATTCGATGGATGTATCACGTTTATAGTCTTTACCCGAGGGAGCAAAATGTAAATCGGCAAAAGTGCTGCTTTTTTCATTCAATAAAGGCCGATTCTTGAAAAATCCTTGGTTATATTTTAAAAGGAACTGTTTTAGAGAATACACCTATAGTGTGCCGATATTAGGGCTGTGTATTGGCAAACAAAACTGTATTGCAATATACAGCGATTCAGGTAACCGTATTGCGATACGTATTGCAATATGCTGGGAACTTAAGTGTCTGACAGTGAGTGACACTAATTGTGCATATCAATCCTATTTTCTACATTATAAGTCCCTAAACATACATGTTATGGTTCTGATAACAGCAATCTCAAAATTAGGTTGCATAATCAGGGATTCTATTTTCTTTTTTTATACAATTTATAGTATTACAGTAAACGTATTGTCATTGAATAATGAAGAAAAACATTTGATGTGGAATGAAAGTCTGTGCAGAGCTTGATTTGAACCATAAAGATAATCACAAAATCTTCATATACGCTCTTTACCCAATATACCGGTTCTAAGAAAGAAATATTGCAATACGTATTGCTTAAAAAGCGTGTTGCGATATAGCGGTATGCCGGTAATACCGTGCAGTGCTAGCCGATATACCGTATCGGAAACTGTATATTGGAATACACCTACAACGAGTAGGATGTATCGGTATACCGAATACACCCCTTGTGTATCGATGAACAGAATGTGCTTCGTATCCGAAACTTGACTGTTCCAGTATGTTGTATTTAAGTGTCGCCGACAGCCTTCTATTTCCCCTTTTATTTCACCAGAAGGCTGCTTCTCCACTGTCTATATGTAGAGAGTTGTACGTGCCACCCGCCAAATCACGTGCGTTTCATGCCTGTGACGTGTGACACTTTCATCCGACCATGTCGGACGTGCAACATCTTTCTCATGTTGTGTTCGTATTATTTCACAGTTAAGCACCCTCTCTACATATATTCTTTCTACATCTATATCATTGCTAATATATATATATATATATATATATATATATATATATATATATATATATATATATATAAACATAAACAGGGTAATAGTTACATGTCTAATTAAGTTAGTAATGTAAACTTTCTCTCGCGTGGATCACTTACTAACTTAAAGCACTAGCATTGCACGTAAGACAGTGTGTGAATGATTAATTATTGGGATTTTATATCTAAAGTATACCAAATCATCAATTTTATATAATTCTGACTGATCGCTAATGCGTGACGTCACATCAACCATCCCCGGACGAAGCTCTAATGCGTGACGTCATATACATTTTCTCAATTATACAATTATAGCATAACTATTATATACCAAGCTTATATCTATAATTGTATTGTTTATTGCCTCTGTATTTATATGATAACATATATACGAGACTTTCATGTCACCATCCGACCATGTCGGACGTGCAATATTTTTCTCTTGTTGTGTTCGTATTATTTCACAGGCAATAAACTGGTTTAGATCGTAAGCGACGTTCCCCGTCTTATCATTTATTGTCCTTGGGACATCGCCAGACCTGAACCCGTGACATAAGCATTTAAGTGTACTCACCTCTTGGAATGACTTCACTTTCCTCTGCTGCACAGCCCCACCTCGGGCTTTGAACCTGGAAAAGAGAACCACACGAATCGCAGATAAAATGATCGGTGTATTTCAACATTGTACAGTCCACTTCCCACACAGTCCCATGTAATAGTGAAAAATAATGTTGCCTGACTTTAGCCTGGAGATAATTTATTTTTACAAATGACTCGGTAAATATATGCCGTTGTCCGTATGGTAACTTGCCGGTATGTTTGACATAAAGCGAATATCTTTGGACTTCAGTAGGACATACGACTGCATGATTGCCATCAAACCAGTATACTTAAGAGAAAGCCATATGTAGACTCCAGTTAGGGACACGGAATGTTTGTCATCAAACCAGTATACTTAACAGAAAGCCATATGTAGACTCCAGTTAGGGATACGGAATGTTTGTCATCAAACCAGTATACTTAAGAGAAAGCCATATGTAGACTCCAGTTAGGGATACGGAATGTTTGTCATCAAACCAGTATACTTAAGAGAAAGCCATATGTAGACTCCAGTTAGGGATACAGAATGTTTGTCATCAAACCAGTATACTTAAGAGAAAGCCATATGTAGACTCCAGTTAGGGATACGGAATGTTTGTCATCAAACCAGTATACTTAAGAGAAAGCCATATGTAGACTCCAGTTAGGGACACGGAATGTTTGTCATCAAACTAGTATACTTAAGAGAAAGCCATATGTAGACTCCAGTTAGGGATACGGAATGTTTGTCATCAAACCAGTATACTTAAGAGAAAGCCATATGTAGATTCCAGTTAGGGATACGGAATGTTTGTCATCAAACCAGTATACTTAAGAGAAAGCCATATGTAGACTCCAGTTAGGGACACGGAATGTTTGTCATCAAACCAGTATACTTTAAAGCAAGCCATATATAGACTCCAATTAGGGATACGGAATGTTTGTCATCAAACCAGTATACTTAAGAGCTAGCCATATGTAGACTCCAGTTAGGGATACGGAATGTTTGTCATCAAACCAGTATACTTAAGAGAAAGCCATATGTAGACTCCAGTTAGGGACACGGAATGTTTGTCATCAAACCAGTATACTTAAGAGAAAGCCATATGTAGACTCCAGTTAGGGATACGGAATGTTTGTCATCAAACCAGTATACTTAAGAACAAGCCATATGTAGACTCCAGTTAGGGATACGGAATGTTTGTCATCAAACCAGTATACTTAAGAGAAAGCCATATGTAGACTCCAGTTAGGGACACGGAATGTTTGTCATCAAACCAGTATACTTAAGAGCAAGCCATATGTAGACTCCAGTTAGGGACACGGAATGTTTGTCATCAAACCAGTATACTTAAGAGAAAGCCATATGTAGACTCCAGTTAGGGACACGGAATGTTTGGCATCAAACCAGTATACTTAAGAGAAAGCCATATGTAGACTCCAGTTAGGGATACGGAATGTTTGTCATCAAACCAGTATACTTAAGAGAAAGCCATATGTAGACTCCAGTTAGGGATACGGAATGTTTGTCATCAAACCAGTATACTTAAGAGAAAGCCATATGTAGACTCCAATTAGGGATACGGAATGTTTGTCATCAAACCAGTATACTTAAGAGCTAGCCATATGTAGACTCCAGTTAGGGATACGGAATGTTTGTCATCAAACCAGTATACTTAAGAGAAAGCCATATGTAGACTCCAGTTAGGGACACGGAATGTTTGTCATCAAACCAGTATACTTAAGAGAAAGCCATATGTAGACTCCAGTTAGGGATACGGAATGTTTGTCATCAAACCAGTATACTTAAGAGAAAGCCATATGTAGACTCCAGTTAGGGACACGGAATGTTTGTCATCAAACCAGTATACTTAAGAGAAAGCCATATGTAGACTCCAGTTAGGGATACAGAATGTTTGTCATCAAACCAGTATACTTAAGAACAAGCCATATGTAGACTCCAGTTAGGGATACGGAATGTTTGTCATCAAAGCAGTATACTTAAGAGAAAATCATATGTAGACTCCAGTTAGGGATACGGAATGTTTGTCATCAAACCAGTATACTTAAGAGAAAGCCATATGTAGACTCCAGTTAGGGACAAGGAATGTTTGTCATCAAACCAGTATATTTAAGAGAAAGCCATATGTAGAATTTAGTTAGGAATACGGAATGTTTGTCATCAAACCAGTATACTTAAGAGAAAGCCATATGTAGACTCCAGTTAGGGATACGGAATGTTTGTCATCAAACCAGTATACTTAAGAGAAAGCCATATGTAGACTCCAGTTAGGGACACGGAATGTTTGTCATCAAACCAGTATACTTAAGAGAAAGCCATATGTAGACTCCAGTTAGGGACACGGAATGTTCGGCATCAAACCAGTATACTTAAGAGAAAGCCATAAGTAGACTCCAGATAGGGATACGGAATGTTTGACATCAAACCAGTATATTTAAGAGAAAGCCATATGTAGAATCCAGTTAGGGATACGGAATGTTTGACATACGGAGTATCATAAGAAAGGGCGTACGGCAAAATGCAAATTAGAAATGAGAAACTTTCATAAGTTTTGTATCTTCAGATGTGAATAACGTCAGTAAGTTTGAAAATGATGTAGATATCCTTGCCTTGCCATGAGCCAGTAGAGATAGGTCCTCATGTCCACGACAACGGTTGTATATGTGAAGCAATAGCTGTAAAATAGTACAAGCAGACAGTTCTATCAGCGCATTTCCCACAGCCATCCATCCCCTACAGTGCTTCCATTTGTAAATACACATGTACATTGTCTCGGGGAACTAATAAATTCTTTGAACAACGAGTAAGGAGTGAGTGAGTTTAGTTTTACGCCGCACTCAGCAATGTTCCAGCTATATGGCGGCGGTCTGTAAATAATCGAGTCTGGACCAGACAATCCAAGATCAACAGCATGAGCATCGATCTGCGCAATTGGGAACTGATGACATGTGTCAACCAAGTCATCGAGCCTGACCACCCCGATCCCGTTAGTCGCCTCTTACGACAAGCATGGGTTACTGAAGGTTCATTCTAACCCGGACCTTCACTGGTTAGTAAAGTTCAATGGATATAAGGCTTCTTTGTTTTATAATGTAAGTGGACGTTTGGGTAAATAAAAATTTGTCATTTGGAATGTTGCAATGCATGAGTGAAGAAAAACGGCTTGTATGAACCTATCATTGATTAAAAGTTTATAGAAAAACAGGACTTTTAAGCTTACATTAAGATCTCAGATTCTTAAATACTTACAACTTTCCCAAATTCAGTTTCTCGGCACTCTCCTTGGACAGTGGGTCAAAGGAAAGCATGAGATGTTTGTAAGGAGGAGTCTGAAAGAGAAGGGTTACTAGTATATAATACCATCTTAAACAGTGTTCCAGTTATATCACGCGCCAGCGGGGTATATAGAAACCGCATGAACAGCTCATAAGCTTCTGGCTCAGGTTCAAGCCCGGGAAGTCGACAAATGAAGATTTACCACCCAAAATTAGTGTCGACTCTGCGGGCATCGCGGACTATTGTTGCGCTTGGCTGGTTTCACCCCAACTGACTTAATCTGCTAGGCTAACAGTGAACACAAAAAGGATTAGCACTGGTTTAAACATTTAATGGAATCCGAATATGCGAAATGTTTCAAACAAGTACAGTATAAAGCATACAACGAGCATGATCAACACGTGTAAAATGTATAAATCAGTCTTTCATTGAAAACTAGCATTGATACAGCTGAACAAGCATTTAGGTCTCAACATGTCTGCAATGTCTATCCCAGGTGAAGGAGTTTCGAGACGTGATCTGTGTAGTCCATCTCACACAGTCTCTGAACGATCAAGTCATCCTTCAGAGATCTGATTCTCATGCCAGTTTGCCGCTACTTCCTCGTCCTAACAGGTCCTCTGCCATGTCCTTGGATCTGCTGGATCTTAACCACTGACTGTTCTTTCTGAATGAGACGTACGAGTTCATAGATGTTCCGATGGGTTTTCTGCAAATTTGTTTATTTTATGGTGCCAGCCTTCAAAATTGTTGTTGGTACAATGTCCATCATTGCCAAAGTGGTTCCACATAGACAGTGGCCAAGAGCCTTCGATCCAGGTTGACGTGACGAAGTCCATCAGCTGTGTTGCCTTTTCACCTTGAGGAGCATTACCGATGGCGTCTACCAAAACGTCTTCAACTTTGTCCTCGGGCACAAGGCGAAGTGCAGCCGCTCTTCTCACAAGCTTGGTTACATCCTCATCGTGTTTGTATTCGGTTGCTAGTCCGATCACTGTGTGTAGTGGAAAAAACAACCATGTCTCTGGGTTCCAGGTAAGACAGCAGCAACAGCATTGTGGGACGCACGCTCAGAGTCCATCTGGAAAGTTGTTGGTACCAGCTGATGTCCTAGGTTCGCCGAGGTCTGCTTCAGATAGGTAAGCATCCGTGTGTATGCGTCCTCGGTTCTGTCTGACATGAGTTCATACACGAGATGCAACATATGTTCTGGAATTCAGCATGGATGGAATATATCTGGTCGAAGAGAAAGGGGCATGTTGAGAAAGCAAATAGGACGTCAGCATGACTTAGCAGTTCTAGATTCTGGTCAGTGGTGAATATGAAGATAGGAGACTGTCCCTCCAGTCGATGTAAGAATCTTTTCCTTGCCCCTGTCCTGGTCCACTGGTCCTGTAGGTCGATGTCCTGTAAGGTCTGGGGCAGTCTTGGTACTGTCTTGTGTCTCTGGCGGTACATGCTCGTCCTCATGGCATCGTACATGGGAATCAGTCTCAGAAGGGCGTCAGGGGCTACATCTGGGTTTCTCCGCAACTTGGCAATTTCATCTTGGTAGATCTGAGGAATGTGGGTTGTAGCGTCAGATCTGGCCCCATCGTGGAGCTTGGCTTTGAATGCATCGACTTCAGTAACGTAGTCTGAGGCACGGCGGTTGTGACCGTTTCCAACAGCGTTGACCATGTCGTCGACTGTCATAACATGGGCACTGCACTCGGGCTGTGTACATTTCTCTGCCCTTCTCTGAACTTGTATCCCTGATTACCACCACAAAAGTTGTCTATCAGCGTCACATGTACCAAAGCATTTGCCATAATGATAGGATGAAGTCGTTCGTTCGTTCTTTCGTTCGTTCGTTCTTTGGAGATTTAACAAGCACTACCAGCGTAGCCGATTTCGCACTTAGTGAATTCATTCTGCAACTGACTTATACTCACCACCGATACTAGTTGCTTTAACTCAATAACTGATTTACTAAAACAATCATGAGATTTGAGCAAAGGATTATCATTGACTTTGTTCTTTTGTTCTTAAAATGTAAAAAGATTGATATCTAAACACTAATGATATATTCACTGGAGTATATCATTTACTGTCAAAACATCACTACTTAATATATAAACACTACATGACAAACTCAAAGTCAACAAAAACAGTACAGCACCTGTAGAACCTGTAAGTTCACAGGCAATTACTCTCAAAACATCACTACTTAATTATCTAAACACTACCCGGGAAGTCGACAAAAGCGGTACAGCACCTGTCTACAAACCGGGACTCAGTTTGTTGACTTCCCGGGATAACTGAAATTTCAATTGTCGACTTCCCGGGTGGACCCCCTGGCTCATACGACGAAGTTTTGCATTTATGCAGATTTGCTCATGTAAGCAAATTTACACACATGACTAAAAGCATATTTGCTACGCGTTAATACGAGGTTAGGGTGACAGCAAACAGAAAAAAATATCATTGAACAACATTCATTTCTGACTTAACAATGGGCACGGTAAGACTGCAAATGGACCGCAGAAAAAGACAGCTGCCATTTTACCTCAGTTTTCGGGTTTAAGTCTTGGATGTACCACTGACAGAAGCATGAGAAGAAACCCTAGATCAACACAATGGTATGATAGCATCGTTTTACATCGATCTAAACAGATTGGTTTGAAAAATTCGGAATGAGAAAGAACCGTTCCATCTGATTTGTAATAGACTGAAAGATGATCAGTCTCCCAAATACAGTAGAGGAACCACTTGACGTCCACAAGAAAGTTGCGATTGCAATCTATTGGATGGCATCATCGGCTGAATACAGGGCAGTTGGAAATCTCTTTGGTGTAGGAAAATCAACGGTATGTGTTTGTATTCATCAAGTGTGTGAAGCAATCATGAAAAATCTTTTTTGCCGATTATGTCAAATTCCATGATGGAGAATAATTGAACAATGTTATTCATGGCTATGATGAAAGATGGGGATTTCCAAACCGTGCAGTTTCCACAGACGGCAGTCACATTCCTATAGTTGCCCCTGAACATTCACATGGAGAAACTTTTACTTATACCATGTAGCCAGTTTTCTGGCTGGGTGTAAATTTACATATGTGTGTAAAATTTGCACATAAGCAAATGTGTTCATATGACCAAAATTGCTCACATAAGTATAATTACATATGTGTAAAGTATACTCGTGACAGAGTGAATTGATGTACCATAGATACTTTGGTCACCTGTTTGCCCGTAAGAGAAGTTCACCCATATCACATGATTTGAGGATTAATTTACGATCAGAGAGGGTTCTTAAGTGCTTTGTATTGTTGTAATATTTTCAGTAATACTCAATAAAAAAGCTGGTCTTATGTTCACCATTCCGATGAAGTTGATGTTAAGGAACGCTGTGAGCTTGGGTGATTTAAAAAATCAGACAAAATTTTATGTTGTTTAAAATGCTCTGTGTTACTAGCTCTCTTAAAGTAGAGATTAAATCAATAATGGAGATCAATATTGTTATCTGGATCAAAAATGTGCAGCTGATATTGTGCTTTTGCAGAAAAAGCACTCTGATGGAATGAATACCTTTCTGAAGAAAGTTTCTAAACTTTAGTTACATCACAATATTTGACAGATTCTCACCTATAGTAATTATAACGTCTTTGTCACGTGAAGGTCAAATGCCGATTTTGGAACCATGATCTATGAGACGTAATAAGGACAGAATCAATTGAATCTGTCCATTGCTTCAAATGGTTTCAGCATTTCTGAAAAGTGACACGGGATATTGTTTGTCGAGAACCTACCTGGCCGTAATGAGTTTACAGTACAACCAGAAATTATTGAGAATTTAAGATTGTATTTTTATATATTTTTTTCACTCATTGCTCACGTATTAAATGTGAATATTAGCAGAACATAACTCCAGATTCAAAGACAGGTGAACAGTTAGTATTTTGTCAAGTCACCATGGGCAGCAATGCAGGCTTCAATGCGGCGGGGCATACTACTGATCAAAGAAGTTAGAAAGTCGTGGTCCATGCTGTCCCAATATCGGACCACCTCTTCTTTCATTTCAGCAATATTTGTCAGATTGTTCTTATTGACACTTTCCTTCATAAGTCCCCAAACATTTTCTATTGGATTTGGGTCAGGGCTATAGCTTGGCCAATCTAATAATGTCATATTTTGGGTCCGAAACCAGGCATGTGAATGCTTTGAACGATGTTTTGGGTCGTTGTCATGCTGGAAAATCCAAAAATGTCCATAGAACACGTGAGCAGATGGAAATAAATGTCCCTCGAGAATATCTGTGTACAGCTCACTGTTCATATTCCCTTCAAATACACAGAGGGACGTTGCCCCTAACACAGATATGCCACCCCACACGTTAAATTTCGGACTGTAGTTTGGGCGCTGATACAAAGGTTTTTCAGTTTGTTTGGTCCAGAATTTCAGTGTATTAGGAAACAGCCACACAGAACTTTCATTAGAGAAAATTACATTGTCCCAGTTAAAATGTCTATGCTGTAAGCACCATTTCAACCTTCGCTCCTTTTGTTCAGGTTTCATGATCGGTGATGGAATTCCTCGACTTTTCTGCCAACCCATTGCATGCAGCTCAGTTCTAATTGTCTCATTACAGACAGCCACAGTTCCTCTATCAATCATATCCAGCTTTAAGTTTTCTAAACTCCTTCGTTTGTTTTTAGAAACAAGAATACCAAGCCGCCTCCTGTCACCGACAGTCAATTTTCTGGTGCTCAATGCCATATCCATTTGCAATATTTTTCAAAACACGATAAACAGTGGACAAAGGGATGCCTGTTCAAATTGAAAGCACTTTAGCTGATCTAATGTCCTTGTTATAATACTCTAAAATCAACTTCCTCTTCTCTAAATCATCCATACTGAGGATCACTGAAAATGTCGTCTGCAAGCAAGTAAACAAAGGGTGATAACTCTTCACAAACTAATGCAAAGGGATTAACGGAGTTGCCTCTCTTGAATGAAACCAAGCACTTGGTAGCTGGTCAAGGCTGTTTATACTAGAAATCCAATTAAACATATTCCTAAAATACACCCTAAAGTCTAAATTCTAATAGTTTCGGGAGCAGAGCCACCCGGGATCGGACCTACATTCTCCGACTGTAGGGGCCTGAACGCCCGGGCAAAAGGCAGCGATCTAACCCCCTCAGCCCCAGAGGTTGGAAGTACAACAACTGGTAGTCCAGATCACGTACTTTGCGTGCCGTTCAGACAAGCATAAATCGACGCGGCTCCCATTTCCCATGCTATGAATACAAATGTCTGATAGCAAATGCATTATGTTATATTTGACGCCATATAGACTACCAACTGTCAGACGTCCAGTTTTGTTGATAAATCACTGCAGGTGGATTTTGGTACAAAATTCCAGCTTTATTGGTAAAGCATATATAATGGTATCTGAATGGTTAACAGCAACAGAAAGTCGTGTACATGCGAGAGATTTATAATAGTGAGTGAATGAGTTTAGCTTTACGCCGCTTCTAGCAATATTCAAGAAACGGCGGTGGACACAAGGCAAGGGCTTCACACAAAGTAACAACATGGGGAATCGAACCCGGGTCGTCAGTGTGACGAGCGAACGCCTTAACCACTAGGTTACAGCACCGCCCCGAGAGTTATAATAATACAAAAAGGTCACATAATAACAAAACAGAGAAAGCCAATTAAGCATTATAAAGACTGCATCAGCAGGTTGAATCAAACCATATGAACTAACCTCGGGTTCAACGCTATAATGTATCCCCATACAAATGCTGGCACCACTGTCGGCACTTTCTTCTGATACTGCCAGCTTGATAAAGTAGTCCATGGAGGTTCGCCCCCATTTCCTTCAGAAGAAGAAGAAGATAACAGTTCAAATGTTATTCGAAGACTTGTCTTAAAGTTACCGTTAGCCTACTTGCTAGCATGAATATATATGCAGATGTTCTTATATTGGCTGGTGGTCGTGCTGTACCAAACTAGGGATCTTCTCCCAACAGGGAGTAATTTGACTTAAAAACAACGTAAAACCAGGAGTGAGTGAGTTGAGTTTTACGCCTCACTCAGCATTATTCCAGCAATATGGCGGCGGTCTCTAAATAATCGAGTCTGAACCATCCAGTGATCAACAGCATGAGCATCGATCTACGCAACTGGGATACGATGACATGTGTCAACCAAGTCAGCGAGTCTTACCACCCGATCCCGTTAGTCGCCACTTACGACAAGCATGGGTTACTGAAGATCAATTATAACAGAATCATCACGGTTAACGTAAAACCAGGAAGGATAACAAAACATTGTGTATATGGATGAACAACTTCTTCATTACAGGGACGATGAGACACCCTTGTGTTGCAAGACTGCACATCTTTCAAGGCTTAAACGTCTGTTAAAAATCGATGACTGTTAATTTAATGAGGTTTATTGAAAGTTTGGACGACCTTTATGTAATATGTAAAATATGGTATTGTCAAACAAATGACCATGTGAGTGGAACTGGTTTGACACCCTGTCGAGATTATCTTACCTCTGAGTTGCGTCGTCGACACCCGGTGCCCAGGGAACTATCCAAGCCCCGGCACCGACACTTGTCGTGGCCTGGTTGAAATTGTCGGCAATAATGGTCACCTGACTTCCCGGCATGTGTTCCTGGATGTTAATGGCAGTAGAGATTCCAACCACGCCGGCACCAATGACGGCAACCCGAGCCATCCCAAGGGTAATCCTACTGGTATGCTACCAACCTTCGTGGAAAGCAAAACACTGGGATTATATAACATCCACGATGACACCGAGAGACCTAGAAAAGTCACACTGGCCTAAGTGCTGGGGTTAAATCTGATAAGCGAACCTGTCCCACTTCAGATTTAAGATAATTGTATAGACGTATTCAGTAACAGGAACTGACTGTGTTCTTTAGTCAGATACCTAATACTCTTTGCAGTTCACGTAGCTCTGTTCTCATGTACAGTCTCGAGGCCATATTCACACGTGTTATACTATTAAGACAGTGTAAAGGTGTCCATTTACAAGAAATGATGTAAGATATTATACAAGGTGTCCCCTTTACAATGGGCGAAAATTAATGATTTCTCCAAATATTTAAAACTATACAGTTTTTGCCGCACCAAGCAATATTTCAGGTATATGGCGGCGGTATGTAGATAATCGAGTCTGGGCCAGACAAACCAGTGATCAACAGCAAGAGCATTGATCTGCGCAGTTGGGATACGATGACATGTGTCGACCAAGTCAGCGGGTCTGACCATCCGATCCCGTTAGTTGCTCTTACAACAAGCATGGGTTACTGAAGATCAATCCTAACCTGGATCTTCACGGGTTCAAAAGTATACATCACCTACTGTATTTCTTCTAATAAGCGCACGGTCCGAGATCCGTTGAAAAAATATTTGAGGAAATACGGTATGTAAAATGAAAATGAAACATGTATGCAAAATTTGTATGTAGAGAACATACAGATTTGTATATTTCTGTAGGCATGTGTACATGGAGTGCTCTTCGTTCATGTTTTTATAAAATGTATTATTTAATATTTTATACAATTGCCTGCCACGTCCCCAAGAAGCTGTTCAGCTCCTCTCAGCCTGCGTATTATTTGGTGAAATATTTGTATCGAATAGTTTATTGCGAGCATTTGTAAGAATGCTCAGTAGTATAGACAGTAGCGGTACGAGATCAATTCCAACAAAAGACTCTGTAAAGCTTCATTTATGAAATAAAGCTTTTGTCAGGCCCTTATCTCTCTCCGCTATTGTATATACCAGGTTTGAACCCCCAGTTAACTTCCTGGTCACTATGACCGCGAACCAACACTTTCCTGATCACGTGACACGATAGCTCTATGTCGTGTTGACCTTGATGAAACAGTTTAATGTGACAGGATACTATTGGGATCACTCGACAAGGTAAGTGTTAAATATTTTGCTTTGGGGGTAACATTGTAATTCCTCTCTGACGAAACCTCTCTCTGGCCCATCAATTTAAACAATAACCAATAATGGAAATAATATGTTGATAATATTCAATTAAACCGCCACAACCCTTGCCACAACCACACGAACCCTCTGCTAAGTCCATTGTACAATTCCAGTTAAGTTCAGCACGTTTACACTGCTTACATACATAGATCCATACATACATATGTTTTACGTCCAACGATAACATACATTTAAACTTATACGTTCTGTTTGATAGGGTAATTTCATTCAGTCTGCAAAGCTGCACGGAAGAACAAGCGACAAAATGTATCTGAACTTCTATCTAAAACAGAACATACGTCAAATGAAACTTACTACTGTTGTATGTCAAGAGCGAGCGCTGAGATCCCCACAGCAGTTACCGACAGTCGCGCTTGTAATAACAGCCTGCTGGCTTGTCTCTACAACGTGACAGTCGTGAGCCAAACATAAACATACACTGTGCGTTTGCTAAGGATCACGTTTTGTTGACAGACACCTGTCCATACATAACGATTGAGATAAACCATAACACAGTGACTGAAAAACCGCTGTAGGACCTCATTTCATTATGAAGGGACATGATGTAGTTTGGGACGGTGTTTAAGAGGTGCTTGAAGACCTAGGTGCACATAATTATCACTGCACAAGAACAATTGTTACTAAGGATTGCAACAATATAACACGCTCAAAGACGCCCGAAGAATTATGTAGAGAGTGAGTTTAGCATTATGCCGCTTTTTGCAATATTCTAGCAATATCAAGGCGGGGACATCAGAAATGGCCTTCACGCACTGTACCCATGTGGGGATTCGAACCCGTGTCGTAGACCTGACGAGCGAACGCATTAAACACTAGGCTACCCCAACTACCCAACCGCCCCGAAGAAGTATGCAAAAAGTGTTGAGCCTAAAATACTTCTGATATGTGCATGATAAAAATAACTGTATGATAATGAAGAATTTATAGAAGCACATGAACCCGTTATCGCTATGTAGGCTAAACATAGACCACAGATCAACACGCACGTCACATATGTACTCTATCATATATGTGACGTGCGGCTTCCTGTGCATAGAAGTAATATTGACATGCACATGTCGCTAGTTTCCGGTCACTTGACATCCAGTCACATGTACCCCAATTGAAACGGCAGAAATGGATAGTCAGGGGCATAGGGATATTTTGGTTCAGATTCTTCCAAAAGCACCAAATTTGGCACAGAGGTAGCTTAAGACATACTAAGCTTATTTCTGACGGGCGCCAAGATGGCCGCCCCTGTGGCGGCCATATTGGACAAAAACAAAATGGCCGCCACCCCGATTTAAGAAAAATTTAGTCATAAATTGTCACAAATTGTACATAATCATGTTGTATATCAAATGAAAGACACTAAAAGAGAGCTTTACAGTGATATATAAATACAATTTGTGTGAATGATATTAAAGAAGTTAGATGAAAATTAAGATCTAGAGGGTGGACCAAAAACATCAAAATGTCAATAAACAAACGAAGAAATACAAAATATATCCTCTTTCTGTTTCTAAGAACATGTTTTTTTTATAGTTTCTCATCGATTTATGTAGAAAATGCCATTTTAGAAAAAAAAAATATAATATGGTTCACTACACATGATGTGGATAATCTTGACAGCAAAGCACAAGGAAATTTCTCACAAGATGAATTTCATGGCTATGCACTCAGTGTGACCAATCATCTATCAAAGGAGAATATGGGAGTAAAGCATGCTCCGATAAAACAGGATCCAATGGACACAACTCCTCCAAAGTTGCTGGACTTTTATACGATTCAACAACCAGTAGAACTCTCTGAGACAGATGTCTATGCTCCAAAATCTACTACAAACCAAGTCCGACCAAGTCTCCTTGTAGAAGATTCAATGGATAAGGATCAGGCATGGCTTACACTCGTCTCAGAGGTATTGAACAAGGGTCCAGTAGAAGAGGGTGACATCATCACCTGGGTAGGGTACAACTCGTCTCTTGCAAGTGACAGATCTGTGAAACCTCCAGCAGAGATTGGTATATGCCCTTTCTTCTCGGATAAAGCAGCATCTGCATCTTCTATGAAACATGCTATGGATTTGTCTGTGCGGGTTCTTAAACCCGGGCCAGACCACAGTACTGATGCAGATCAGCCACTATATGCCATTATAAAACTCCTCCAATGGCAGTTCCCAGATGCTTACGGAGAAGACAAGCTTGTTTCTATGATGGGTGCATTGCACATTGAAGACAAGATGCATCTAATGATAGGGAAGCTGCTACGTGACTCAGGGTGGGCAACGGTACTAACTCAAGCAGAGATCCTCACATCTGGTCGAGCTAAGTCAACCCTCAATGAGCATCACATCAAGCGCACAAGATATGCCCACCAGGTTTCCCTCATATCGCTGAACATCCTCAAGCAGAATGCATACTCTGAATATTGCAAGGGTGTCATGGGTCCACCGGTATCCTTCAACATGTGGGATCAACGTTCTCAAAGTTTTCCACAGTTCAAGTACTGGTCTACTATCACTGAACTAGAACTGCTCATGGCTCGTTTTGTGAGGTCCTTGAGGGAAGGAGACTTCCTACTTTATGTACAATCATGTGACAAACTTTGTGGTTGGTTTCATGCATTGGACCACACAAACTATGCACGTTGGCTTCCAGTATATGTACGTGACATGGTTGAACTTAGCACCCTGAGATACATGATGAATTTATGAAGGGCAATGTCGTTCAGAAATCATCCAAGAAGTTCAGTCTTACGGTCAAGGACCAAGCCCATGAACAGTCCCTCCAGGAACACGGTGGAGCAACTGGTCTTTATGAGAATCCTGAAGCACTTACCCTTTATATGCTTGCGGGACCAGACTGTGTGCGGATGGTAAAGGAGTTGAATCAACACATGACCTTTAACCCCAGGCAACAGCTCATCATGAGGAAGGACATCATTTACAAGTCAAATTTCAAAAAGACGCTTGTTGCTCTGGATACCCAAACTGTCATGGAGCCGTCCGTCGTGAACAGGCTGTTACAAATCTCTGAAGCTGGCAAAGCCCTGCATGCAGATTATGTCCAAGAGAGACCGGTGAAGATATCTGTGCCTGTAACAGATCCAATCAAAAGAAATAACATGCTGACCTTTGCAAATCGACCTGACCCAAGGAGAAAAGAACCTAAGGATGTTGGTATTCAGAAACAAAACATGATATTGGTGACACAGCTCTTCCTTTCCTTGCAGTCCCGCCCAGATGCAGACTTGGCCGACTTTTTCATGCATGAAAATCAAAAGGAACCACCAAGCCTAGCTGACAGAGGGTCATTGAGATTTGGAACAAAGTCAGACATACTGGACTGTATCAAGGCACCAACTGGCCGTACAACTGCTCCAAAACTAGCAACAGTCGTGGTTTTGGATATGGCAGCAGTCATCCACATGCTGCGCTCAACAGTAGCAAAACCATTCTCTGACTATGTGTCCCTTCAAGTCATGCCATATCTTGAGGCCCAGATGAAGAATGGAGCCCAACGGATTGATGCGGTATGGGATAACTACACCGAGAGTAATAATTTTAAAGGCCTGGGATTGGTTCAAGAACAAGAGTTGGTGATGGCAGCACCCTGATACCAAAACATGAATGGAACAGTGGTTTCCTCAAGAATGAGGAGAACAAAAGGGAATTCTTCTCATTCATCAGCAGTCAGATCTCCAAAACGGATATGGATGGAAAGCTCCTCCTGAGTACCCACTGTGAAAATGTGCTTTCAAACCGACAGTGTGACCTGGGAACACTACAGCCATGCAACCATACCGAGGCTGACACAAGAATCATCCTACATCTCCGACATGCTGCAGAGCATGGCCACACATCAGCCTGTTTTTGCACTGTTGACAGCGATGTTGTGATTTTGGCAATAAGGGTCTTTGAGACCTTAGGCCTAACAGAGCTCTGGATCGGATTTGGAACTGGTAAAAAAGTGCAAAGACTTCCCAATCCATGATATGTACTCTCATCTTGGTACATCAAAGTCCTTGGCATTACCCCTTTTCCACAGTCTTACTGTCTGTGACACAACTTCACATATTCTTGGATGTGGAAAGAAGACTGCATGGACAACCTGGACAAGTCTACCTGACCTGACAGACACACTAGTGGCTCTCACACAGGATCCTGAACACTTCATGACTGAGTCGAGACACATTCAACAGATTGAAAGATTTGTTGTACTGATGTGCAGCAGAAGTTGTGGAGTAGGGCGCGTGAATGAAGCAAGGCATCGCCTTTTCACTACTGGAAGCAGGCCATTGGAAAAACTCCCGCCTACTCAAGCTGCGTTGTTTCAACATGTGACACGATCTATTCTGCAGACGAGTTTCTTTTGGGAGCAGGCAACCATTGCTTACCAGGAAATCCCTGACTTCAGTGATTGGGGTTAGCAGAAAGACGACAGCCATAACTGGCAACCTCTATGGACCACCCTCAGTGATGCTTCAGCAGCATGTTCTATCCTCCTACACTGCGGTTGCAAAAAGGGCTGTGTGGGAAGGTGTAAGTGCAACAGTGCTGGTGTACGATGTACAGTCCTCTGCCAATGCGAAGGAGGATGCACACATACTGACAGTAACTAGGTAAAATAGTTACTATATCTATCACTGACAGTCATGTGCAAGTTACAATATATACATTCTGTGTATACTATTGTTATTTCTGGTGTACTCTGATTCACTACTGACTGGATATTTTTATAGGTAAAACATCTTGGGATTAAAACATAAATATTATTTCTACATAATTCCATTTTAAGTCACAAATATGATACCTCTTAAAACCGAACACTGAATTGACAATTTCCAAAGTGAAAATATCTTCAAATTCCAAGTACATGTACTGTATGAATTTTGATGGGTTTTGTATCATATTTTGAAGTTTTCGGTCAGCTCTATAAATTTTATATTGGTAATAACTATTGTCACACTGGTTACAATAAATCAATGTATCATCATTGCAAAGCTCTTTTCATTATCTTTCATTTGATATGTGACATGACCATATACAACCGTAGGAAAAATATATTATTCTTAAATCGGGCTGGCGGCCATTTTGTTTTGTCCAATATGAAACATACAGGAGGCCGCCATCTTGGCGCCCGTCTGGAATCGAATTAGTATGCCTTAAGCTACCTCTGTGCCAAATTTGGTGCTTTTGGAAGAATCTGAACCAAATGCCCTGAAAATAGCCCTAAGCTCCTGACTGAGCAGTCATTAAGATTTTGGTCCTCGACGGCCATCCGATGAAGTACATTGAAGAGCAATTGTCAGAAGAACGACCCACTACGAGTACTGAGTCCCACGGGGTACACTCAAAGGGTCAGATCAGTAGAGGTGGCTGAATGAGTGAGTGAGTTTACTTTTACGCCGCTTTTAGCATAGTCCAGCAATCTTACGGA